GTGTGTGTGTGTGTGTGTGTGTGTGTGTGTGTGTGTGTGTGTGTGTGAAGATGCTCCTGAAGAGGTCTCTAGAAGACAAAAAGAGCACAGCTGCAGAGGTCTGGGTAGCGACTGTGAAGGACAGCATCCATAGTTGTGGGAGCCATGAGAGCACTGGTCTATTTCAAAGCAGAACACGTGCTCTGCCCCAGGGATCCCAAGGGGGTCTGTAGACTGTTCCCCACCCCAAGCATGACCTGTACTGATCCCAGTAAAGCCAGGCATGGTGGAGTGTACCAGTAATTCCAGCACTCAGATTCAAGTAAGAGTATTGCTGTGGATTTGCGACTAGCCTGAATGAGGATGTAGTGAGTTCTAAGCCAGCCTGTGCTACTGAGTGAAACTCTGTCTCAAAGCAAAGAAAGAAAGCAACAACGGGGCAGAGAGATGGCTCAGTAAGATGCCTCTTGCTGCTTTTGCAGAAGATCCAGGTTCAATTCCCAGCATTCATGTGCAGCTCACAAACAGCTGTAACTCCAGTTCCAAGAAGATAGGACTCTTTCTTCTAGGTATTGCATGTACATGATACACAGATACACATGCAGACAAAACATCCACACACATAGAGTAAAACAGAACTTAAACCAAAAGCAACAACAACAAAGACTGAAAAGGCAAAGGCTTCCTTGCCTAGAAAGCACAAAATCCTAGATACAGTCCCTAGAACTGTAAAACCATAAATAAATTAAAAACGCATGCACTCTGAGCAGGAGAAATAGTTCAGTAACCAGGAGCACTAGGTACTTGGAGAGGATCCAGGTCCACTCTCAGCATCCACATGATGGCTCACAACCATCCATAGCTCCAGTTCAAGTGTCTCCAAAGGTACACACATGGCACACATATATAATGCAGGCAAAACACTCATACACATAAAATTAAATAAATCTAAAAAAAATTTTTTTTGAGACAGGATTTCTCTGTGTCACCCTTGATACCTTGGAACTTGGAACTTGAAGATCAGGCTGGCCTTGAACTCACAGAGATCCTCTTCCTCTGCCTCTGCCACCACCCAGTTCAATCTAAAATATTTTTCAGTGCACGCATACAAACAGCCTGTCCTGTAGTCCCCTCTGATCACAAAGGTAGCCCTGAGGGTCACAGTAGTGAGATGACTGGATACAATCTTCCAGAGTGTTGGAACCGGGGAGGATCATAACTAGAGTCACGGGCCTGCAGCCCACATTGTACACCATGCAGCTATGGGGCCTGAGGACAGTCACCCTGTTTTACCTGGCCCTTTGAGAGTAGTCAGAACAATCTGCTCACATGTCCTAGCATGGTGGCAAGGATCAAATTTGTCACTTTATAAACAGTGCCACCCATAGGCTCCGTGTAGGACAGGTACTTCTGACGTATACTTAGGATAGCCTAGGCTAACCTCATAAGATCTGTGTTCTCTTTACAGTTTCAGAGATTTCAACAAGTGACCTTAACACACCTGCAGGACATTGCCAACAACTACAATGTGTACTACAATATGGATCCCCGCTTCCAGAGCCTGGTGGAACAGAGCCAAGCTGTAGCTCTCGCAATGAATCAGTCTCAAGCTGCCATACAAGGAGATGTGGCCCACCTAAAGACCTGGTTTAGGAAGAGCCAGCGAAAGAGCCGGAAGATAGATGCTCGGCTTCAAGCCTTGGACCTCTCCCTGAGCACAAAGAGCAAGCAGTGGGTAGAGAAAGAAAAGGAGCAAAAGACACAGAGGGAGGCCATTGCAAGCCTGGCCCTAAGCTTTCAGGCACTACAGGATGTGCTGGCCAGCCTCACACAGCAAGTCCATAGCCAGGATGCCAGGCTTGCTGCTCTTGAGGAACAGACACAGAAGGCCTCCCCTGGTACTGTGGCCCTGGGGCTGACCACAGCCCCAACCCCTACCCGGCTTGCTCAACAAGGCCCAGGTTCCTTGCAACTGTGGAAGGACAGCAAAGCATCCAAGTCTTCACTCCAACACAGGAGTTCTCCCCAAGACTTCCCTCTCCACATCCAGGAGATGCAGACATTCCAAGCTCCAAGCAGCCATCGAGCAATCCCACCAAGGACCCACCGAGGACCAGGAAACAGTAAGTGATACAAACCTGTCACCTCCCTATCAAGTTCCAGGTTTCCCTAGCAATGCCTGAGGTTATCATTCCCAACCCCTGTAACCCCAAAACGCTCTTTTGCCCAAGGGCCACATACCCAACACCATAGGAGAGAATGGCCTCCGACAGGTCAGTCTGCATGCCAGAAGGGCCTCTGTTGAAGTGGTTGAATCAGGAGCCTCAGGATGAGTCTCACTTCATTCTAACAATACTCAGGGTAGCCAAAGAGAAATAGCTGAGTTTGCGTTTGAGCAGGAGCCCAACACCAGCCTAGAACAAGGACAGAAATGGTTGGTACATTGTTTGGCACAAAGCAGTGACTTTCACATTCCCAACCACATTTCCCTGGCTCCTGAGTTCTCTTCGGCTGAGTTTGTCACTTTCTTCTTATCTGGCATAGTCTCCACCCCAAATCCTCCTGGGGCTTGAGATGCATGCCCTTTCCTGACCCTGGGCTCAGTCACAGAACTGATATTTCAGTTTAAAATAAACTAAAAAGTGCTTGGGCAGGCAGGGACCAGCTGCTACATAGGGAAGAGAGGGGCCGAGTACACCTGCTTATCTGAGATTCACCGATGAGTACTAAAGGCACCTCAGACTGAAAATGGACCCTGATGATTTATTTCCTATAGAATAACCCTAGATTATCTGGTTTATAATAGTCACCAGAGGCTAGAGAAGAAGTCAGGAGAGTCAGAGCTAGAGGACACCCAAGGACAGAAGCAGAGAATAGGAGGGTGTACTGTGGAACTAGGGTGTAGTCAGAAGCCAAAACCTTTAGGGCTACGACTTCTAAACTCAACAAGGCTTCTCTGAGCCTCTCGAGGGAACTGACTACAGAACACTGGGTCTTGAACCCTGGGAGACCAGGTTCAGGCTTATGACCTCCAAAAGAGAGCTGATTTAAGTCAATAAACATGTAGCAAAGTTACAGCAGCCACAGAGAGATTAGACAGAGGCTTTCCTGGTCACAAGGTGCTTCATAGACAGACAGATAGACACAGGATTCATCCACTCCCTGAGAAGGTATCCTCAGTCCTTACCTGTGCAGCACAAGTGTTCGGATTGTGAGTGGGAATGGGGGAAGCAAGCACTCTGAAGACCTTCGGGTCACGATGTAGACTAGAGCAAAAGGCAGGCCTGCAGTAGGATGCTTCTGAACCGCCTCAAGCTCAGGGCTGACTCTCTTCCCTCTTGTTTCCAGTTTGCAGCACGGGCCCAGTGCTGATTTTCCCCAACACCTCCACTGAAAATGTGATCTTTCTTAGCCCTGGCTTCCTCGTGCCCCTACGAGCCCTGTCCTTCTGCAGTTGGGTCCGCATCGCCACCAGACACCTGGGCACGCTTCTTTCCTACGCCACCAAAGACAATGACAACAAACTAGTACTGCATGGTCGAGACTCCCTGGTCCCTGGCTCCATCCACTTTGTGATTGGTGACCCAGTCTTCAGGGAATTGTCCCTGCAGCCGCTTCTGGATGGTCAGTGGCACCACATTTGTATCATCTGGACATCCGTGGAGGGCAAGTACTGGCTCCACATAGACCGAAGGATAGTAGCCACAGGCTCCCGATTCAGAGAGGGCTATGAGATCCCTCCTGGAGGATCGCTTGTGCTAGGCCAGGAACAAGACACCGTGGGGGGCAAGTTTGACAGCTCTGAGGCCTTCGTAGGGGCCATATCTGGCTTGGCCATCTGGGATCGGGCATTGTTCCCTAGAGAAGTTGCAAACTTGGCCACTGGGAAAGAGCTCCCCACAGGTGCCATTCTGACACTGACCAATGTCACATCTGTGGGTGGATTTGTACAGAGAGCCAAATGTACCTGCCTGGAGCAATGTCCATAAGGCTGCCTGCCACACATGGCTGTGTCACAGTCAAGAAGAACAAGCCTCCATATCAACACATATTCCAAAACACTTCCCTGCAGTCACTGCTGGGCTACGTGGCCTGTGCTCTAATGTTAGGAACTTCCACATTACATACATGGAGACTCTGATTAGACAGAAAACGTCCAGTCGGGAAAGAGAGGGGGTCCAAGACCACAACTTCCCATTGCTGTGGAATTTGTTTGTTTGTTTGTTTGTGGTTTTGATTGTTGTTTTCTGAGACAGGGTTTCATACTGTGGTCCTTACTGGCCTAGAACTTACTCTGCGTCCCAGGCTGGCCTCAAACCCATAGCAATTTGCCACCAGGGTGCTAAGATTCCAGATGCAACCACTCCCCCACCCCTTTCTTTCTTTTTCTTTTGACAGATTCTCACTCTATCACCCAGATTCGCTTGAGTTCATGATCCTCCAGCCACTCGAGTGCTAAGACACTGGCCTCCACAGTGATAAAGTATAGGCTGCACCTTAAAAGCCATTCTCATTTCATGTGTAGTATGCTATTCTTTGACCCCAGCTGAGTTGGCAGACAGGAACACTGGGCTTGGGTGGGCTTCCTTCTAAAGCACCTTTGTAGCCATGAAAGGCTGTCAGAGAGATGAGAGGCCAGTTCCTGGGGACCCCCTTGAAGTTACAAGAAGTACTTTTACCATAGTTGTCTCCTCTCAAAAGATTAGTTTTCCTGCCGGGCCGTGGTGGCGCACGCCTTTAATCCCAGCACTTGGGAGGCAGAGGCAGGTGGATTTCTGAGTTCAAGGCCAGCCTGGTCTACAGAGTGAGTTCCAGGACAGCCAGGACTACACAGAGAAACCCTGTCTTGAAAAACCAAAAAAAAAAAAAAAAGATTAGTTTTCCTGTGAACTTGGATGTTCCAACATCCCTTTCCTGAAAAAGGCTTACCATTCTGTCCTCTCCCCCCCACCCCCTTCACAGGAGGCTTAGGGACTCTCTGGAGGTGAACTGGGCATTCTTGTTCTGTTGTCTGTGAGAGCCATTGAAACTGCCAGAGCTACCATTAAAGACACACTAATAATGCTTTAAAACGTGATTTACCAAGTATTATTCTCGTATGTGCCCTTTAAAAAGTTTTAAGATTTTAATAAAAGTGCTGAGTTGTGCAACCATCACAGTCTGGTTTTATTTGGTTTTCTTTTTTAAAAAATTCTTTTGGTTTTTGGAGACAGGGTTTCTCTGTGTAGTCCTGGCTGTCCTAGAACTCACTCTATATACCAGACAAGCCTTGAACTCAAAGATCTACCTGTCTCTGCCTCCCAAGTGCTAGAATTAAAGGCGTGTGTACCACCCTTGTCCAGATTGGATTTTTTAAAATGTGGTTTGGGGGATCAAACTAGGGAGGCAGGGTTGGGTGGATCTCTGTGAGTTTGAGCCCAGGCTGGTCTACATAGTCGATTTCAGGATAGCCGGGGCTACTTAGAGAAAACTTGTCTAAAAAAAATAAAAAAGAAAGAAAGAGAAAGAGAGGAACTGGAATGGGAGGAGTTCTGAAGAGAAGGACAGCCCATTGAGTCCTTTGTCTGTTGGGTTGTAGGGCTATGGCAGAAACAGAACCAAGACTGAGGTGAGCTGATGAACCTGGCCAGCAGTTGTCCTGATGCTAACCGCTGAGCTACTGAGCAGGCCAACGAGCTCTTAGTCAGCTCCCTGGCCCAGGGATGATTATGTGCTGGGCGTGCACTGCCTATCAAGTTAGTTGCGTTGAAATCCCCTCCCTTTATCCATTTCTGGCTCCTGCTTTCTTAGTTGTTAGCTTTAACTATCTGCTAGCTGTTATTCGCTTGGCCAGCTTGCTATCTGACCTTGCAGGTGTCCCAGTGCTGTTAAGGATACGGAGCTCTCTTCATTCTCAAGAAATAGCTGCAGCTCTTCACTAATCTTCGCTAATTTTTAATCTAGGGCATGACTTGGGGTTTCTTTCCTGCGGTATGCAGAGGCTTGTTAGGGGCTCTCTGGTATAATTAGTTATATCAGAGACAGGACCAGATGAGAGGAAGGACAATACTGCTTTGTAAGCATTCCTCGGGGACTCTCGGGTGGGGGAAGCCAGCCTGTGCTCACTGACACAGAGTCCTGGCCTTCCTTTTATCTCATCAGCTTGCTTATCTTTCCTTTATTTCATTAATTTTTTTAGACAAAGTTTCACTATGTAGCCCTGGCTATCCTAGAACTCACTCTCTAGACAAGGTTGGTCTTGAACTCAGAGAGTCACCTGCCTCTGACTCCCGAGTGCTGGGATTAAAGGTATGTGCTACCACGTCCAGCATCAGTTTGGCTATCTCACACCTAGTCATAGCCCTATGATTCACCTTCTCAGTGTTCCAGCTTTGCCATTTCCACACTTAGTCTTTCTGTTTAGCCTCAGAGTCTGATCTTACTGTGAGCAACTGATAGTTTTCACAGTGTGCCCCTTTCCCCCGCCTACGGAAGCTTGCACCTGCACCATTGGTTTGGTTTTCTGTTTGTGAAAGAGTTATGACTGGGTTATAGTCCGGGTTTCTGTCCAACTTGCTACCTCCCAACTCAATTCTCCACATGTTGGAATTATAGACATGTGCCACTATATCCCTTTCCATTTCAAAAGCGAGAAAGTGGCACTGGACAGATGGCCCAGAACTTAAGCGCTTTGACGGCTCTTCTAGAGAACCCAGGTTTGATTCTGAGCACTACCATAAAAGCTTAGAACCATCTGTAGCTCCAATTTCAGAAGATTTGATGCCCTCTCTGGCCTCCACAGGTACTAGGCACACACATGGTGCACATACATGCAGGCAAAACACTCACATATATAAAAATTTTAAAAATCTAAAATGAGAAAGTAGACTGGAGGTGACCCATGCCCAGTGCTAATAAAACCATGGGGTCTCAAAGCCTTCTGCACCCTATAGCTGGGGGTTTCAGTTCTGTAGAGGCTGGGCCTCCATCTGACTACCCTTTAATCAAGCAGGAGGCAGTCAACAGTATGCAAAGCCCTACCCAGATATACTGTCATAGGAACCTCGATCTAAATTAGCCTTTTTTTTTTCTTTTTAAAGATTGGATCCTTGTAGCCCAAGCATAGCTAATGATGACTCTAAACTCCTGATTCTCCTACCTCCACTTCCTGGTGCTGGGATTACAGGTATTTTCCATAAGGGCTTCATGCTAGGCAAGCATTTCCCAACTGATCTACATCCCCCAGCACCCCACCCTCATATTTCAAGACAGTTATTCTGTGTAGCCCTGGCTGTCCTGGGACTCACTCTGCAGACCAGGCTAGTCTCAAACTCAAGAGATCTACCTGCCTCTGCCTCCTGAGTGGGCTTAAAGGTGTGCACCAACACTGCTGCCCTAAATAAGTTTCTTAACAGCATCTTTCCCATCTCTTGGTGTGCCCAGAGCCCTAGACTTTCTGCTAAAATCAGCTTCCTAGGCCACCTGTTCCTGAGTCACAGTCAGCGAGTATGCTAGAACTGGAAACCCCACTGGATGGCTCACGGCTGTGATCTTGAGTCACGCTCTGTCTTCTACTTCTCCAAGAACCTGAGCTCTTGGTCTCAAGCACAGCCTGTTGAGCGCCCCTCCTTCTAAAACATCCCTTCCTTGCTTCTCCTGACACATTCTGGAAGCAGGTTTTGCTTCATTTCATCCTAGCTCCAAGGACAGTGGGGAGCAACAGATTTCTCCTGGAAAGAGCCATGATCTAGTGTTTGCTGAAGGGACAGCATGGTTCTGGGATTGTTGTTCTGTGGAAGACCCCTAGCAACAAGCAGGGAAAGTTGAACCTCCAATGGCTTAATTTCAAAAGTCTTGCTGTCAACCTCATGTATGAGACTAGAACAGCTGGAAGTAACCAGACACACACAGGCTCAAAGCCAGGATGCAGCAGAGTATCGGTTCTATATTCCCAGCTTTCAGACGTTCAACATGGTCTAAGGGAACCAAGATATCACAGCAGTCACTGCAGAGCTTGGGACTTCAGCAGACATGTTACAGCACGGTGGGCTGCCGAATCCAGGAGGTGCTGTAGGGCAAAAGTCACTTTAAGCTGGCAGAAAGCCTTAGATGTGGTCCATTGGTGTTTGGGGCAGTATGGCAGGATCTCAAGGACAACTGTAAATCTTGGGCAGGCAGTCATGGGAAATCTGTTGGGTTTGGAGACCATATAGTCTGAACGAGTTCATCTGACCCAGCCTCCCAGTGAGGTCATCAAAAGCTACCTGTGTATTTTGAAGCGTAACCCTCACCCTTTCTAAGGTCACTAGACTGTTTGTTTAACCACTTCAAATACATTGTTACAATGCTGGCCCTGCAAGGAGTCAGTGCCAACAAGAAACCGTTGGTTCTCCCATAACCAAGTTGTCCATCCCTGCCCATTTCTCTTCTTACAATGACTAGGGTACAGTTCAATGATGGAGCATTTGGATGACATGTGTAAGTTTAATCCATAATAGACAAAAGTCAATCAAAAGAGAACAAATAAGTTGAAGGCCCTGGTCTTTCGGGAGCTGTGCAAACTGTACCACCTTGTCAGCAAGGGTTATGGAGAGCATCTATCCTCCTAGGCATGATCTTTTCCCAGGGACTATTTTTTCCATGGCCCCCCTACATACCCTGCTGTGCCCCCACACCTCTACTCCACTTATTCGCCTGCCCATCCTTTCTTTCCCCAAGCTCTATCATCCAGAAAGACCAAGCCTGTGCATTCAGTTCAACTGACAACTTGTACTTTTACTGTGCATCAAGAATAATGATTCCTGGCCCTAAAGAACCAGAGAAGTGGGGATGTATCACCTCTGAACCTCTAAGGGGCTGGACGTTTGTCCTAGTCTCAAAAAAATTGTGATTAAAGTTTGTGTGTGTGTGAGGGGCATTGAGACAGGATTTCTCTGTGTAGCCCTGGCTGTCCTGGAACTCACTCTGTAAACCAGGCTGGCCTCGAACTCAGAAATCCACCTGCCTCTGCCTCCCAAGTGCTGAGACTAAAGACATGTACCACCACTGCCTGGTTTCTGATCAAAGTTTTGAAAGCAAACGGATCTAAGTTCAAGCCCCATGGAATACTAATGACCTTATTTAGACAAGCCAGTTTCATTTCCCAACCTCAATGCCCAGCAATACAAAAGAGGTTCAAAATATCGTTGTCACTATTTTGTAAAATGACAAAGCTAAGGTGTGTCGATGAGGAAATTACATGTTTTTGGAGGGAATCTTGTTGTTATCTCACACACACACACACACACACACACACACACACACACTCTTACTTGCATGGTAATCATGGGGGAAATTCAGAACCCCATTTCACTTTCCTCCTCTTATTCTGTGTTTAGTATTGGCTTTACTTTGAATTGTATGGAAGGAAGGACATTTTCTGTAATCCTCTCACCCTTAGAAGTTAAAAAGGACTTAAAAGTTTCCTGATTTGAAAATTTCCAAATCTAAAAAAAGTTTAAGATAATATATATAGTATGAACATAAATATCCTGGGATCTTTGTTAACTCTCTAATATATGACCGTTGTCACTCACCACTGAAGATCAGAATCGTATTTTAACTATTTTTATAGAATCTTCCTATATTGTGCACATTAACCCCATACTTTCCGATATTTCTCTGTTAAATGTAGCTTTCACAGTATATACCCATTTCCTTCATTCAGTGGACACTTTCTTCCTTGCTTCCTTCTACCATTTCCGGTAAAGCAACTGCCATGACACTGCTCAGAAATTAACATTGCAGCATTGTTCTTCTCTGTAGAGTGCCACTCATGACGATTACTGTCACTCTCGAGTCCCTGAAGTTGCCGTATGAAATCGCAATCCTTGTCCCTACATAATTCAGGATACACAAGAACACTGATACTAAGACTACACTTGGCAAGCTTACCTTGCTAAAATACTATTGGCTAAAGCAGCCTATGGCTAGTTAACAACACACCCACGTGCTTTCCTAGTCTCCTTGGAGGAGGAGGAGGAGGAGGAACCTTAGGGTCTCAAGCCCTTTCCCGGAATTGCAGCAGTCCGGCTGCACTATGAGCACAAGAAACACATGAAGCCAGCTTGGTCGAGAGGGAGGATTCCAGAACTTAGTTTATTTTTTTTTCCCACATCATCTCTTCAGGGACTGGGCGTGCATATCGGGCTGGTTCTTCTCTAGAGTCTGGGACACTGCCTTCAGTGAAGACTCTAACTGCTAGGGATCTTGAGGTCCAGGGTTTCTACCTTGGCCTGCAAGGGCAATAAACCACAACTCCCAGTAGACCCCGCGCTCACGGACCTTGGCGGCCTCCGTCGTCGATCACGTGGCACAGATGGTAGATCACGTGAGTCCCTGACACCGGTCACAGGAACGCTGCCCGGCTGCGGGCTGTTCTCGTTGAGTTTGGTCCTCAGTGGGCCATGGCCAACGTCTCTAAGAAAGTGTCTTGGTCAGGCCGAGATCGCGATGATGAAGAGGGGGCGCCGCTGCTTCGAAGGACAGGGCAGCCTGACGAGGAGACGCCTCTGCTGAACGGAGCCGGTCCGGGCGCGCGACAGGTGAGGCCCGCGGGCCGGAGATGCGTCCGCCGGGATAGCTGCGCGGGTCCTCAGTGCGCCGGCGGGGGCCAGAGGGAAGCCACAGCGTTCTCTGTTATTTTTTGAATCCTAGAAGACTTTTATTTTTGATAGTTTCTCACCCATAAGCCTCTTCCTTTCTTTCTCTTTGAACCCCTTCTTCCCATCTCGTCCCCCAGTGGCTACAACATTAGAGAAAATGATACCCTCTCCTCCAACAACCATTGTCATTGGCTTTTCAGCAAGAGATCCAAAGATTTTAACGCTGTTTTTGTGTTTTAATTTTACTTTTCGTGGTGAGGCTCGAGCCCAGGATTTACACATGCTAGGCAACCATACGACCTCAGGTCTGCTCCCCCAGCCTTGGCGCTTCAAGATAGGGTCTCACAGTGAGACTACAGCTGTCAATGAATTCATAATCCTGTCTCATTTTCCCAAGAACTTGGAAGGCCTACACTACACGCCTGGCAGTTTTCACAGTTTAAATGGCAGAATTGCACTTTCAGTGAAATTGTCTGTCTCCTTTCTCACAGGAGTTAATTCCAGACGTTTGTGACATAATTGCAATGACAGGCATTTCCACTCATTTTCTCTTACTACCTAATTGAATTTGGAATGTGCAGCCAGACATGATAAGCAACAAGTCCAAGGCCAGAGTGTGCTCAGCACTCAAAACAGTTTGTGCCTTTAAATGCACAGTGTTTGAAAAAGGGTACAGGTTTGTTTTTTTTCTTGCCTGCTTTTGATTCTCTTGCCTGTGTGCATCGTATTAATTTTGAGTCAGTTATTTACGTCAGTTCCTTCATGTTAGACTGTTTTATGTCCTATACTTTTCCTCCTCCTGATTTAGAGGTGTATAACAAACACTCTTGCTATTTTAAAGGCTAAGAAGAGCACAAGATAGGGCGGCTGCATCAGAACTTACATTTAGGTTTTCTTTGCCAGACTCGTGAAGGTGTGTAGGTCGATCAAAGTCAAAGTCAGTTCCTTGTAGCTGGGAAGCACCTCAGCTCCCTTTGAAGTGACATGTGCTTGCAAATCTGGTCTGCAGCAGCGATCTGAAATGACTTAAGTAGGTGGTAGGGCTATGTCTGCCTTCCTAGGGTGTTGCTGGGAGGTGTGATTTGTTATCCCTGTTGTAAAGAAAGTAACCGCTGGAGAGGGGGCTGTTGCTGCTCTGGAAGAAGACCCGAGTTCAGGTCCCAGCACCCAGGTCCAGGGGCTCAACCACCTGTACCACCTGTAACTAGCTCCTCCAGGTGATCTGACCACCCTCTCCTCTCCTGGCCTTCACCAGAGTTAATACCTATTATGTGTTAACACACACACACACACACACACACACACACACACACACACACAGGCGCGTCTCTCTTCAAAAAAGAAAGTAGCTTTATGTTGGAAACTGGTTTTAAGAGAGGGAAGAATTTGGAAACTGACAGAAGTTGAGTTTGGGCTGAATGTGTGTGGGTTTTGTTTTTGCTTTTCTTTACAAATAGACATGAGAGTAAAGAAAGAGTTGATATTTCCCCTAAATTCCACTATAACTTTTAAATCTGCAGTTAATATAATTGACTGGTTGTTGTTACACAACTTAAAAGAATTAGTTGGTCACCTGCCCCATTGTGGGTTCCCAGGTCTGTGTGCAGGTCACTGAGGTGCACAGGACAGCTTCCTTCCCTCTGGGAACAGGCCCAGTGCCTTGCTGGTTCTGTGCGAGGAGCCCTATAGGTATATGTGCAACGAGCACTTTTGTGCTCTGTGTAAATAGTGCAAAGTCCTCAAACAAGCAGAGCAACAGGAGAAAGAGAATATGTGTGTGGGATGTGTGCTGGGTGTAGGAGTCTTGGTCAGGCACACCAGTTGACTTGAGTTTTACTAGGTCTAGGAGAGGCATACAGGAAGCTGGGGACTCCAGTGCTAAGGAGTCCACGCCTGCTTAGGCAGGTTGAACAGCTTGGGAACCCTCTGTACTGAGCACTGGACCAGCCAGAATTTCTGGCAGGATCTGAGGCCTGCTGGTGCCAGTTTTCTCATCTGTAAAAGGTTAATGAATGTATAACACTGAGCAAGCCTGTTAGAAAACAGGCTCTTAGTACATACTAGTCATTAACGGCAAGGGGCTGGAGACAGAGTGCTTGCCTAGCATCAGGGAATCCCTGGGTTCAGCCTCCAACATCACACAAAGCTGTGTGGGGTGGTAAATGCTTTTTATTTTTCTTAATAAATCTTTAAAGATTTATTTATTTTTATGTATGTGAGTACACTGTAACTGTCTTCAGACACACCAGATGAGGGCATCAGATCTCCTTACAGTTGGTTGTGAGCCACCATGTAGGTGCTAGGAATTGAACTCAGGACCTCTGGAAGAGTGATCAGTGCTCTTAACCACTGAGCCATCCCTCCAGCCCCTATGGCAGATGCTTGTAATCGGGCATGCAAGTAGCGAGAAGAGGAGAATCAGAAGTTGAAAATGATTTTTGAGGCCAGGCTGAACTAGATGAGACCCTGTCTCAAAACAAAATAAAGAAACAAATCAAAAACCCTTTCAAACTAAAAGAAATTTGTCTTTGCACTTGACATTTGGCTATGGCCCCTCTTCAGCTGAAGGACTTTTTGGTGTTGCTTTTCTCAGGGAAAGTCTGGACAACAGACAGGCTCATAGTTTGTGAGCTAGCCTGGAGTCAGGACCCTTTGGAAATAAAAAGGGGAACACAGCGGGGTGACCCTGGGTACTGAACATGAGCTCATTATCCTGGCTACCTCCTGAGCCTTTGGGGTTTGTTGCAGCATCTCCAGGGCTGGGTGGAGGCAGTGTTGCCACCCAGCCAGGCGGAAGCTGGCCAGGCAATGTGGTAGCTGCTAAAGGCTGGACAGGCTGGGCCCTGTTTAAAGCTCAGGCCCTGTGGCACTACCTGGAAGCCAAGTCTTTGGTTCTTTTCTTAGGTGTGGGGTGATAGTGGAACAGGGAGAGAGTGAGGTCAGCCTGCAAGTCATGGTCATGTGTGTGGGCAACAGGAAGTAGAGTTTTCTGGGAGGCTGTTTGATCCTAGAGCAAATGGTGGAGAGTTGGCAGTGCATGTTTGCAGTCTTTAAATGCAGGGTATTCTTACAGGCTCATTTTGGGAATTGCCACTAGAAACACCTTCTCCCTCAGCAGAGGAGGGACCTCAGGTGAGTGTGGGACTGTGTCCTGTCCTGATAACTTGACACCACAGACCATAGCCTGAAGGTGCTGTTGGGAAAGACAGGAAACCTGTGGCCATTGGAGAGCTTCGGGGAAGGGTCGTCTGACTGTCCCAGTGGCCCTTTGGCCCTGCTGTCTTCTGGTGAGAGCTGTTGGTTCTCAGTCTTAGGAATTTCTCCTCCTCTCTCAGCTCATAAGCAAGCCTGAGCCCAACAGGGTGTATAAAGCTGAAGGACAGGAACCTGGCAGCCTCCAGGCAGCCATGCAGGACCATATCCACCCGTAGACCTGTTCCCTTCCGGCCCTCTCCTCCCTGTTCTGGGCTGCTTTGCTTGTTGTAGACCTTCTGGCTACTGCATCTAAAACCAGTCTCTCTTCCAGTTTTCTGTCAACTTTGTCACATTTGCACTGGGTTTTTGTTTGGTTGGTTTTGGCTTTTGATGTCCCTCTGCAGCAGTCTGTGTTTCTTTGGCGTTTGGCATGGAGCCTGGCACATGGCAGCGCTGATGGAGGCAGGGCTGTAAAGCTGGTAGTATGTATCTGAGCAACTTAAACAGTGTGGATGTGGTGCCACACGCCTTTCATCCCAGTGCTCAGGGAGCAGAGGCAGGTTGATCTCTGAGTTTGAGCCCAGCCTGGTCTATATAATGAGTTCCAGGTCACCCAGGGCTATGCAAAGAAACCCTGTCTTTAAAAAATTTATTAAAAATATAAAAATAGGGTATCCTCCAAGTGCAAAAGTGCTGTCTTCCAGCTCTAGTTCCAATAGAATTGGAGATTGCTGCTGCCACCTGGATCTAGAAAGTGGAAGAATTCAATTGTCCTCATTTCTCAAATAAAATTGGTGTATGAGTACATGTGTGTGTATACACACATGTGTGTACATGTGTATGCGTTTGTAGGAAGAGCACATAACATAAATATGCTATCAAGGTTCACACACTGTTCTCACCATTTCAACTCATAATTGAGATTGAGGCCCAGGCTTCTGTGTACTAGACAGGTACCCTCACTTCCCACTCCTTCTAATTTTTATGAGCGGTCAGAGTATTGGTGTAGTGTGTAAGTCAGAGTATAAGTGGCTCAGGTTGGGCTTGAACTCTCTGTATAGTTGAGGCCAGGTTTTAATTTCTTTTTGCATGTGTTTATTTTGTATGTATGTGTGTCTGCACATGTATGTATGGAAATCTGGATAACTTGGAGTCACTTTTTTCCTCCACCACATGGACTCAGGGCATTGAACTCAGGTCATCAGGTTCTGAAGGAGATGCCTTTTTCCACTAGGCCATCTTGCTGGCCCAGACTTTTCATTTTTGACCTCTTTCCTCAACCTCTAAGAATCTAGCATTACAGATATTTGCCACCCATCTGGTGGGTGTGTGTGTGTTCTTTTTTGTTATGCTTGAGACAGGATTTCTCTATGTAGCCCTGGCTGTCCTAGAACTTATTCTGTAGACCAGACTGGCCTCGAACTCAGAGATCTGCCTGCTTCTGCCTCCCGGATACTGGGGTTGAAGGCATGCGCCACCACAACTTGCCCATCTGGTATATTCTTAATGTTGGGCAATCAGTCTCTAGAACTTCTTCATCTTGTAAAACTGAAACTGTACCCTGAGGGTTTTTTTTTTTTTGACTTCTTCCTCCTTCCCCTGGCCACCACCTCTTACTTTCTGTCTTTATGGATGTAGCCATACTAAGGAGGCTAACCTCAGACAGCTTTATAGCTAAGGATGACCTTGAACATCTGGGGCATGGGGAAGGAGTGGAGGCAGGATATCACCACATAGCTCTGACT